GCTTTTCTTCTTGTATTATCAGTACTGGATGTATGAATTAATGTTGGTAAAATCCTTCATTTACCACAGGACGAGATTTTCTTTCTTTCTTTTAATTGGGGTGGGGGGGTGATGGGTGGAGGAGGGCTAATAATCTGGTCAAGATTTGTGTGACTGCCTTGAATACAGGTGAATGCTTATGATGACATTCGTGTGGCTGATTTTATATTGGTCCAAGCACTTTTTGACCCATGTAGCTGCTATTCTGATCACGCTCAGACTCTTACAGATCAAACAAGGAAAATGGACGAGGAGCTTATGTCTATTGATTGTAATAACCATTTAGATGATATTGCTTGTAGAAATGAGATTAACATGATTGCCAATAAAGAGCATAGAATCACAATTTTAAATCAACCTGAAGATGTTGCCGATCTACTGAAATACAAAGCAAGGATAAGATTACAAGTTATGTGCATTCTGAAGTTATCCCTCCCAAAATGAATGGAGGAGTTGAAATGTGCAGACTCCATTTGTTGATTCTCAGATTTGTAGGCCGAAACTGCCCTTGATGAATGGAGATTGTACTGTAAATGAACTTGTTTACAAGGGTCCTGCACGCCGTGTTCTCAGCATTGCGATGCAAAATCCAGGGATATTGGAGGTATTTATTTTAAAACAAGCTTTTGGTATGCACTTATGTCTTGGGCTGCAGAACCTTTGATTTAATGAGTGGGTTTATTTGTTTAGAAAATGTTATGTGGTTTCAACTTGCTGCAATAAAACTGAGCTTGAACTGCCCCAATTTTAGCGAACCATTTCTAGTTTATGGTTACGCACTACCGGTGGCTTGCAAATTCTTTTAGATGATGTCTCGTTTGGTATTTCTCTCCTTTTTGTGTTTATCATGTTTTTAGCTTCTATCTTCAATTATTTACTGGGAATAATGCTTCTTTTGTTGTTGTGATTAATATTGATAAATAAACACTGGCTGCGGTAAAGCTTTAATGTAAGTTTAATTGCTTCTTCATCTTTCTGAAATGGTATTGTTGGAAATGCTGAAATCAGTTTTTGGAAACCTCTTTCTTCAGCTGCTTAAGTTATATATTTGTAAATGTTCTTGTTAGAGGGTTTTGAAAGGTTCCTTGAGTTCTGAAGTGGTAATAAGTGTAACTTGCAATATCTAATAATGTAATAATGAAGTGCTTAACAAACTTGCAGATATTGTAATGAGAGGAATAATAACAACACTCAATGTAGATGATGGCTAAGGTATAAGAGAAGATGGGGGAAGAATGTTGAATTGTTAAATTTATCATCTGAGACACGTGACCTGATTTTGGGTTAATATAGAAGAGGTCTAAAAGAACTAAAGATTTGGATTTTGGTTATGGTTTTACATATGAATTCCGTACATAAATTAATAAAAAGGTGGACATTTTAGATCTCTGACTTGCAAAATTTTGGCAATGGAGCTTATACTTGTGATTCTAATTTTACCATTTCATGGCCTTGCATGACATAAACAGTACTAATTGTCAAACTAAATGCCTTTTAGAGCTGCTGAAAATTGTTAGAGATAATGGTTATGGATAATCACATCATCACCTGCAAGATGCATCAGACAACATCTGCCCAACCCTCTGTCATTCTGAGCTACCATTTTAGATCTCTCTTTAAAAGTCCAAAGTCTATATAGGCAGAGTGTATTTGTATGCAAATTTCACGAGTACAAGTTTGTTGTAAGAAAGATGTATCTATTTAGATATCCAACTCGCAAAATTTTGGCAATGCTGCTTATACTTGTGAGACTAATTTTACCTTGTATGATATAAAGAATACTAATTGTCAAACTAAATACCTTTTAGAGCTGCCAAAAATTGTTAGAGATAATATTTATGGATAATCACATCGTGACCCACAAGATGCATTAGACAACCTTGGCTCAACCGCCTGCCATTCTGAGCGTCCTATGCTAAGTTAGTGTAAAAAGACAAAAGCCAATTTGCATAGAGAGCATTTCTAAGAAAATCCCATGTGTACAAGTTTGTTGTAAGAATGATGTATATATGTAGTCTTGGATTAGGACATGGAAGTTTCTTTGAGAGGCTTTTTTACTTCAAGGAATTGATGTGTCATAGCATTGCCAATCTAGAGAAGTATATGGTTATAATCATACTGAGTTTTCTCTAGCATTCCATGTTCAAATTCTTGGTTTTCAAGTTTTTGACAAAAGATTGATTTGGAACTAAACCCAAACATGGAGAAATTCCTAGGTTTCCATGGGTATGTATGTATAGTCTTTTTGTAATGTGATCTCGATATCCTTCGGGAAGCTTAGCAATTTTAAGAAAATTATGGTGACATTGGCATTTAGAGTGAGCTAAATTTATTTATTCATGGAAGAAGAATGCATGGTTATGATCGTGTAATTTCTGTACCATTTCATGTACAAATATTGTATTCTTCATGTTTTAGGCAAAAGGTTGGTTTGCTGATCACACACATTTGCCTATAAGAAAACTTGATTATTCTTCAAGTCGAAGGAGTCAAATCAGGTGATGAACTTGGGTAAAATTATGACCTACGTGTCTATCAAATTATGTCAATATTTTCACATATTGCAGGTGATGTAAGTTGATAACCAGTTAAAGCTTTGAAATATCATTATTGTACTCGTGGTTTAGGATGTCCACATTAGGCATAAAACCCCGAATAATGTTACATGTACATCAATGCCTTACATAATGTCGTATGATATTTTATCATTTGTTAATTTAAATATAGTTCGCTTTCCCACTCACATCATATCGGTCACCTTTTTTGGTTTTTTTTTTTTTGTTGTACAAATAGCAAAATCCTAAAATACTTGAATTATTCCATCACACTATTGTTTTTGACTTGATGTTTTCTTCACAGGAAGGATAATAATAAAGCATTGAAATTTAATGGAAAGAAAAATCAAAATATATTTTACTATTTTATTAAACTAGGCCTGAAGATTATAAATTCCAAGATCTTTCTCTTATTGAGGCAAAAAGGTATTTTTTCGTAGCTTCGTTCGTCCAATCTTGTTAGGCTACTTGGTTGGGCCTCAACTTGTTCTCGAACCTGCAAAAGCATATGGGGCTTTTTACGGTTGTTTCTGTGGCATGAGAATTTTTTTTAGGGAAGATTACATATTCAAGAGTATAAGTTTAGTCTATTTCAAAAATAAGAATACAAGTTTAAAGTTACCAAAATCAGATTTTTATTAGATTTTTAAAAAATTTTATTTATGAAATAATAAATTATTAAATTAATTT